GCTAAGCTGGGAACAAGCCAGTGGCAGCTACTCTGGTGGGTGGAGAACACCTGCAGGCGGCCTGGCTCACCTGAGGCCATCAGAGAGGTGTTCCCTTCCCTTCTGCACCGGCTTTGGTCTCTGGCTGCCTCCTTGGAGCACAAAGCTTAAGAGAATTTCATAATAGCTCTGTTAGCCCTGTGGCACCACGTTAAAAAGAAAATGTTACATGTGGCGCCACCTAGAGGCAGAGTATGAGAAGGAGGATAAAAAGGAAAGAGACGTTTCTGCCGCCCCCGCCCCACCCCCTCACTTTCCTCTCTTACATTTCTTGGTGATTGTTACTCCAAACTCGCCCTCTCAACCCTAGCTCACGGATTTCTGCCATCACAACCAGAGCACTTAAAAGTCATGCTCAAGTAATGGTTGGGAACAGTAAAAGCAAATATAATTTAAATTCCATGTTTGCCCCTATTTTTCAATGTTTCTGAACTTGGAGATGTATTAAAATCTTATCATTTGACAAAATCCTGGAATTCATCCCCATCCCCTCTCACTTCTCACCTCCCACCTCCCTCCACCTCCACCCACCCACCCACACACAAGCATAAAAGGCCTGCAACTTGAAAAGTCTGTACGTGCCTGGTCAAAGACATGATCGATATAATTTTTCCAAGAAAAAAATGAACCGCGGACCTCAAACCTCCACAACCTCGCCCCCATTTGGTTAGGACACAGAGCGGGGGCAGCTACAATCCAACACAAAGCTGGAAGCAGATTTTAAGGGTCTGGATTCTGGAAATCTGGATTGCTGCATTATTACTACAGCAAGTGGTATTCATGAAAGTACAGTCTCTTCTTTCAGAGACGCACAGGACTAATAGCCATAGAAAAACATTATTAGCATTTCTAAAATTTTAAAAAACAGAGTGATAACAGAGGAGAGGCTCACTCAGCAGAGTGACACCAGCCCATGCGCAGAGAAAGGCTGAAGGGTCCCAGGGGTGGTCTCGGATGGAGGGAAGGGAAGGGGGGCTTGGTGTCTGGGGCAGCAAGCGAGCTCTGAGTGATCTCCCTGCGGCTCCGCTTCCTCGTCTCGAGATAACAACAGTCCCTTCCTCATAAGGCCTGCGCCAACCAAATGAGTTATAAATATAACTTAACATGCAGCCTAGAGGAAGCTCCAATAGGGGCACATCACAACAAAGTGTTTTCATGAAGCATGAAGCTGCCCTTTTTCTAAAACATATCTCTAATCCTTTTATTACCAAAAAAAAAAAGTTATGATAAAATGATTATTTAGGGCATTTCACTAACCAAGAACAGAAATACACTCAAACTTTCCCAAAATGAGCCTCTTCTCTCAAAACTCTATGAAGGGAGGTTCTCCAGATTCATGAGGCGGAAAATTTAATGACTCAACCCAGATGGAAATTTATTCTAGTCCATTAATAGGTACTGCACAAAGTTGGAAATATAACTAGTAAATAGAGATCGAGGGAAACATTCAATTTCTTTAGATAATAAAAAATTAAAATTAAAATATATAACTGTTTTCAACTATTAAATGAACCATAAAAATACTTTTTGAGATGTCACTGAACCTGCCAAGACTAAAATAAAGCCAGAATTCTCAACACATTGCCAGTGAAGAGCAAGCAGGTGCCAGACTTCAGCAGAACGAGTGGGCAGTCTGAATCAAGAGCCAGAAAAAGCTTCTGTCCTTCAACCCAGTCATTTCACTTCTGAGAATCGAGATAAAGAAAATTTCTCAAAACAGGGGGAAAGCCATGTCCACCCTCATGTTCAGGATAGTGAACACCATTTCTCATAGTGAAAAACTGGAAGCAACATGAAGCATGAATAATGAGTAAATAAACTGTACAAGTGAAGAGATTATTTATCTAAGAATTAAAAATGATAAAGAAAAAATATATAAAGATGTTAAAATGTTGAAACATTACCTGGAAAAAAATCAAAATATAATAATGTGCATCCTTGGTGACAACTGGGAAAAGCCTGAATGGAAACTTTTAAGATGTTAATTAATAATAGTTCTATTGAGAGTCCTCACTGGATGTGTGATCTTGTCGATTTTTATCCCCCTGGTTCCCAAATATTTACAATATATAATATATGATTTTATTACCTTTATGATAAAGAAAGTTTCTCCCTGTCTTATGAAAATCGGTCCTCTGCTGTGGACACAGACTAGCTGCTCACTGCCTCCTATCACACCATGACACCCTGCTCTGGGCTCTTCTCTCTGCCTTTCAAAAGGGCAAGAATTCTCCTTGCTGAAGTGTATTATCTTCTAAAGGCCAAAGCTATTTCATAAGAAACTGGAGGCAACCACCTCTCTGTGGTGAGACAATCAGCCGCCTTCACTCATCTCTCCTTGAGGACCAAACTGCTCCAAAGAACCAGAGAAAGGGCTTTGTAACTTCTGAGGAAGATATGGGGAAGTGGCACAAATTCTACAGTGGCTGGTTGGTTACCCTGGAGACCTCACTCAGCTCAGCCCATCCTGGCTCTGCCCTCTGGGTATGTACAAATTCCTTAACTGACCCTAAACTGTTTGATCAGTAGAAGTAAAAAAGCAAAAGAGAGTTAAACTGCCAACAACAGCGAAATGGTTGGCCTACAGTACATCTACTTGATGGAATAGTAGGCAACCTCACAAAACAATTGTGAATGCTAAATATGGTACTGTGGCAAAGGGCCTCCAATGTGAAGAAGAAAAAAAAGTTAATCATATGTTTCCATGACGATGGCCAGATTAAATAGTTTGTGCAGGCTGACCAGTAACAGTTGATGTTTACCAGGCCCTACGCTGTGGCCTTATTAACATGCATTCAAACTTCACAACAATACTTATTACAAACCTTATTATTCTCATTTTGGGAAGGAAGGAATTGAAGCACTACAAATTCTCACTTAATCCTCCCAATGGCTAAGATTTAAACCATTCTCGTAACTTTTCTAAGACCACAGAGCCCGGGGGGCCAGGGTGGGAGGACAGGCTGGGACTGGACACGTCTTCGGCGCTCGTACCCTCGACTCCTAGACTGCAAGGCCGTATGTCCGAAATGTAAAATACAAGTTGAATTTGTTTTAGTAAAGGACTTCTTTTCCTTCTCTCTGTTGTCTAAACTCTCTAGTGTTCTTCTGTTTTTATTTAAAGACAAAAAAATGGGGGCAACAGAAAAGAGGGTTTTATTTAACGCATGTGTTTGTGTGTATGGTTTGTTAAATTATGTTTTGATCAAAAGACTAAATAAATGTCAATCAAGTCTCCACTTGGGGGTTAAGGATAGGAAATGAGGAAAAAAGGATGGAGAACAGCCAAGATGAGCCTGTTCCAAGCCAAACCAAACCAAACAGCGCCAGGCAGCTGCCCGCACCAGCAATTTTTTCTATAGTCTCTTTCCACCACCTCTTCCAGTTTGCGCGTGGATTCTGTGATCACGGCACCGGACTGACAGATGACACCGAATGTCACAGGGGACGCTAATATCACACAGCTGCTACTGACAAAGCTGGGAATAAAGCTCAGGTCTCAACTCCCAGCCCCACACTCTTCTACAAACTTATCCTGGGCTGAGTATCACCCCTCAGCCAAAGGCAATTTGCCTTTACTGGAGGTTCAAATGCATACTGCAGCCTAAAAAATGGCCATTCCACATATTCGTAGTGATAATAAGGCTCAAAGCTGGACAGGTTAGAGTTTACACATGTTATGTCACTGGAAACTCAAGTTACAAACATTGTATTTCCAGCAATGTTGAAGCCACACTAGAAACACAGAAGATTAATAGAGACTTTTTTTAAAAAAACGGCAAAAATAAAAGTGCATTATGTATAGTGGGCTATTCAGAAAAAAATCATATGCAACGAACAAAATGAAACACTCCCCATAAAAGAAGATACTGCCAGTCCACCCTCCCAAAACTTCTCTGCAGGGCAGAGGTGGGCAGCAGGAGGACTAGACCCTCCCAGCGAGGGCCAGCCCCAGAGCGGCCGAATGCCTGAGGAAGCTCATCACAGGGTGGGGGCAGCGGGGAGCGGTGGCGGGGGGCTGCTGGCTGGCTCCGGAGGTGGACGCCTAACAGGGTGCTCCTTCCTGTGGGTCAGCAGACTTGGCCTCAAACCCTGGTGCCAGCTATATTCAAAGTTCAAACGATCGGCCTCTCCCCAGACATTTCCTTTGTTGGCTTCGAGAGACAGCAGATTCAGAGTCAGCTACACAGTTTTCCTGTCAGGGAGACCTGCTGCCTGAAGCCTGGGGAAGAGCCCAGAACCACCGTCCCGCTGTGCAGCATCAACCTCCGGGCGGAAGAGGAACTCACCTCCACGGGGCCGGGAGCATGACCACACCTGGACGCCCCTCCACTCACATCCCAGGTGCTGCCTTTCTCATAGATTACCCCCGCCCTGAAGCTCACACACATTTCAGGGCATGAAATGGGTAAGAGGCTGAAGAAGGAGGTGGGTGGGGGGGATCAGAAACACACCGCCCCCAAGCCTTGGGGGCACCTGTTTGAAGATGATGCCCAGGCCTTTCTGGCAGAGGAAAGGGCATGCGGAAGCAAGTGACGGTCTGGTCAGTACCAACTCTGTGCTGGATGCTTGGCACAGTGCTACGCCTTACTTAACCATCAAGAACACTCCACAATGCACAAGACGTGCAAGATGGCTATCAGCCTGGGCCTTGGGGTCGGGCAGCCCTGAGTTCAAATACAGGTCAGCTTCCTGCTGGTCGGTAGATACCGAAGCTACATAACCTCTAGGTCTCAGATCCCTCGTGCATAAAATAAGGGCAACGACAGTCCTCAGGATGGGGATTGGGAGAGCCTGGCGGGGTGGGGCGGGGCGGTCCCCTGCGCTGTCCGAGCTGTGGCTGTGGCTCCGCCGCACAGGCACACTGCTCGGAGACAGAGCACCAGCGTGGAGGACAGCAAGCCGAGCGGGCGGGGTCTAACCAGACCGGCCCCCGGGCCCCCGCGGGGCCAGGCACTCACGGCACTCCTGCTCGTCGCTCTTGTCGAAGCAGTCGGGCAGCCCGTCACACTGCCAGGCGCCCGGGATGCACCGCCCGTTGCTGCACATGAAGTTGCCCGGAATGTTGCACTCGGTGGTGAAGTTGTTCCCGGGGAGCAGCTGGCTCTCTGTTGGAGAGGGCAACAGGGATATCAGGGGCATGGCAAAGGCGGCAAGGACCCGAGCCCCCCAACCGGAAGGGCTCTCGTCTGGCACGGTTGTATACGCGAGGCCCTGGGTAGGTGACTTGACCTCTCTGGGTCTCAGTTTTCTTTTCTGTGAAATGGACTGATAATCTTCCCTGCCCCACCCCTGGGGATTCTGGGAGGCCTAAATGGAGAAAAAACAGGAAGCATGGAGCAGCTGTCTGTCACACATTAGGTGCTCACTGACTTTCCTTCTTCCTCCATCAAGAAGATGGGTTATAAAAATCCAAACATTCTCTTCTGGCCATTAGCAGTGACTAAAAAAAAAGGTTCCAGGACAGGAGTGAGCACTGGATTCCCACAGGCTCCAACAGCAGGAACTGCGATCTCAGGCTCTGTGGTCCTACCTACCATCACAGAATCCTTAAACTTGAGCCAAGTCAACAGGGATATTGACAGATGATTTCACTTTGGAAAACGGAAGCCCCTGCCCAAAAAGTCAACCTGTCTGAGGTCACACGAGGAGGAAAGCCAAATTGAAATTTAAACTAAGGCCTCTTTCCCCCTGAACTGCTTGCCAGGAGTTCTTGGAGATACTGAACTAAGCTCCAAGGTTTAGATGCAACTTCACTGAACAGAGTCCCAAAATGCCAAGGCCCTCGCCCAAAAGTCCCAACTTTCAGGCTCGAAAGCAAGCAGGGCATGGGGGCAGGGTCCTGAATTCATCCACCAACGGACTCGTGAGGGCAGATTTTCACGGGAGCCAGAATCTAACCAATCTGAGCCACTGTGATCAATGGGTGGGAGATAAGGATTCATCTGGAAGTAAAATGGTCATAGGGTAATAGGAGAGAAAAAGACTAATCCTTCCAGGGTTCCCTCCTGAGTCATCAATGAGCACTTATTGAACATCTGTGACCAGACACTTGTGCTAGGTCCTAAAGATGCAGAGATGAAAACCAGGGCTGGAAAGGCACACGGAATACTAAAGGTGAGACTGCCACGGAGTAAAAGGGGTGCCCAGACCTGCCTGGGGGTAGCAGGAGTGGAGGGGGCTCATGATCCTCTTTCACAAGCTTTGCCAAAGAGGAGCATCTCTTCCAGACCCCTGCCATCACATCTTTCATGCCACTATTCTTTACAAGTGCTAGCGCTTTTACCTGGAATGCCCTTCAACCCGCGGCATCTCCCAGCAAATCCCTATGCAGCCATCAGCACACAACTTCCATGCTGCTGTCCCTTTGCAGTGTCCCCCGGCTTCTCCAAGCAGAAATGGGCGCTCACTCTTTTGTGTACTGGGGTACTCCTGGGGTGATACTAGACATAGCTGACAACTGCAACAAGTGGGCAACAAGCAATGGGAATAGACACAGCGAGCAGTTCCACATCAGCCCCAGTGCTGTGGATGTTACTGTGGACCAGCTGTCCCACGGTGGTGCTGAATTAACAATGGGCATGCCCATCCCCCTATTAAAAATGAGCTTTCAAATCTCACTGAAGACTTCTGTAATAGCAGCTGCAATGAGGGGCCTCACCCTGCCCCAGCTACCTGCACCGGAACCCTAACAACCTTCCGTGTCCCCTCCTCACTCAGTCACCCACCCCCTCCAGATGGCCAAGCACCAAGTCCAGCACACTAGTCTCCGCCGCCGCAGCCACGGCTCCAGCCCAGGTCGCCACCATCTCTTACCAGGGCTCCCGCCACAGCCTCCCAGCCTGGCCTCCCTGCCACTCCTCACGTCCCTCTCTGTGGCCAGAGGAACCTTTCTAAAGAGCAAATCAATTAGGACCCTTCCTTACTTTAAAAAGCCATTGAATGGTTCCCCACTGTTCTTAAGTCAAAATTCAAGGCACTAAAGAAAGGTTCAAAGAGACATGTGGCATTTGCAGTGGAAGCTGATAGATACAGAGATGGAACGTTAAGCGCTCTCCAGGCCTAGAGAAAGACAGCGAAACAGTGCAAAAAAGCTCAACCCAGAGCACTAAAGCGTATGGAACAAAAAACAAGCTGTGATTGTTAGGGCCTGCAAATATATTGTGCCACTATGTCCCCTATTCTACCAGACAGTCAGACATCACTAATTGCGGCACTGTGTCCACTGGCCCCACACTCAGTACTGGAATCCCTCTCAAGACAGGACTCCTTGAAAGCCACTAGCCACCCTGAAAAGAACATGAACTAATTCACCATCTCCAGATGAAGGCTCTAGACGGCAGAGGGGAAGTCACAGGACAGAAGCCTAGAAGGACAGCCAGGTACTGGATCCTGGCCAAACAGAATGGACCGCCCAGATAATCCCACCCATTCCAGCTGTTTGCAAAGAGCCGCTCTGAGCCCCATCAGCAAGCAGTGAATGCTTCAGGGCTCTGGGACATTAATTGTCATGCTGTTTTGTTAGGAAATCACCTACACTTGCTTTTGTAGTGCTAGCTCCTCAAAGGCAAGCTCCCTGAAAAGTCACTGCAACTGTGAAATCTTGTTCTGATAAAAAGATTTCCGGAGGCAGAGAACTGGTCAGATTAGATTCCAAAGTGCTTGCTCTGAGAGTCAACAGGCTGGCAGACTTGACAAATGAAACGGTGTGATGCAGAGCCTTAAATACCACATCTGTCATACACAGGTGGCCCTGCCAGCCACAGGGCTCTGCGCTCTGCAGGCAGGACCAGGGATCCCCAGGGCCTGGTGACTGACAACACAGAGGAGCATTCTCTGTGCGCTTCTGAGCGCCGCCATTATGCATGCGGGGGGCACAGCGCCTTGTGCTCTAGGGAAACGACAGTATCATCCACTCGAAAGCACGAGGAGAAACCAAGGCAGCAGGAGGTTAAATCCCATTGGCGTTTGTCTTTGAAAATCTCCCCCAAACCCATCCAGTGTGCCTCACTCAGCTGGTACTAGCCAATCCACACTGCCAGCGGTTCTCCACACAGGGTGATTTTGTGCCCCCAGGGGACATAGGGCAGAATCTGGGAGCATCTTTGGTTGTGGCATCTAGTGGGTTGGGTCCAGGAACGAATGCTCCCGCTCACCGGCCACGCGCAGGGCCGGCCCTCACAGCAAAGAACCATCCAGCCTGAAATGTCAAAAGGGCCAAGGCTGAGAGACCCTGGCTTTCACCAGCCTCCCAACTTCCACTTCTCACTGCCCCCAGTTCCCTCTCCTCACAGCAGAGGGAGATTTTAACATGCTGCAGATGGCTTCTCTGTGCCCTTACAAGAAATCTAGAACTCTGCCATGGCTGACAAGGCCCGGTGTGATGGAGCCCGTGCCTCCCTCCGCAACGTCATTTCCAACCATTTCCTGGAACACAAATGTCCTTCCTGTGGCGAGGCCTGTGCCTATGGCTGTTCATTGACCCCGAATCTTCCACCCACCTTTCCCCAGATGTTATGGGCATTAAGGGCTGAACTGCATCTTTCCAAAATCTCTGTGTTGAAGCCCTAACCCCCAGTCCCTCAGAATGTGACTGAATTCAGAGGCCGGGCCTTGAAAGAGGCGGTTAAGTTACAATGAGGGTGGGCCGTCACCCAATCTGACTGGTTTCCTCATACAGAGAGGAGGTGAGGACACGGACGGGCCCTGAGGAAAGACCACGAGAAGAGGCGTAGGGAGAAGATGGCCATCTGCACGCCAAGGAAACGGGCCTCAGAAGAAACTAACTCTGCCCACACTTCGATCTCACGCTTCTCGCTTCCAGAACGGGGAGAAAATACATTTCTATTATTTAAGCCATCCAATCTGTGGGACTCTGTTATGTTAGCCCCACAAAACTGAGACATGTGACTAATCTCACTCATCCTTCAGACCTCAGCTTTACGCCACAAATTCTGAAACCGTGCGTTGACACCCAATCTAACACGGGTCCCCATTTCTCAGTCCGGCATTGTCACTTGGTCTCCTTTATCCCAACTTGTGCTGCCTGGCGTATCTGTACCATGTCCCCACTAGCCAGCACACCCCCAAGGCAGAGGGCCACCACTGCGTTCGGCTCCACAGCCTTGACATCTGGTACTCAGTGGGTCCCCAGTGAATACTTGGGATCATTCTAAGAAGAAAACCAAGCGTGCGGTTACTTACTTCTCCCCATCCCCAGACTCCTCCTGGGAAAGTTCTATCTACTTTCTGGAAGGTGAGTGGGATCTGTACTATATAGTTAAAAATAAGGTGCATGGGGGTGTCTAGGTTTGTGCAAGTAAATCACCACCCTGTCTGTTCTAAAAGAGGTGAGAAATCTTTTCAGCCCGACAGCAGGACTTTCTGGTGGCTGAAATATTTATCCCATCTCAGTGTCTAGGGACACATTTAGAATCCAAAAAGACAAGCATTAGCACAAAGTAAGCTACCTGGGGTTTCTCCTCCTCTTCTTTTTTTTCATTAAGCTGAAAAATGAAAAAGAGCTGCCCATTTTCACCACAGCACATCACTTACTTAAAATAACTACACCACCCCACCAAGACTGAAAAAAGAAGGCCCCAGTCCTCCCCCACTGGGCAGAGGCAAACGGCCTACTGCAGCAGCTTCTTCTAAAATTTCTGGCACCCACAAATTTATTATTCAATGAGGGGCCAAGACTGAGGTAACCGCAAAAACTCAGAGCGCGGCTGCGTTCTGCCCAAGTGCTCCTTCTGGAATGGGCGGCCCCGCCAGTGATGCTGACTTTCCCAGCTGAGAAATGGGGATCCTCCTCTAGCGGCTGAAGTCCTCCCCATTCCCTGCTCTCCGGCTCGTCTCCGGCCCCCTAGGGACATCCCTGCCGTGATGCAGCAGAGGACTGACATCTGCAAGCCATCCACAGGTTCTGCGGTCAGATTTCTGCCCAGTCGCCTCTGTTTTTATCCCTTGCTTCCTAACAATCCGGTCTGCAAGCGCCATGAACAACAAAGCAAGACACACAAACATATACACACACTCACACACGGCTTAGCATTCCATTTTGCAGATCTCAAATAGATCTTCCCTAAAACCTCCTCAGAGACTTAAC